TCCATAGATCCCACCATTTGCCCATTTGAATCTCATAGCCAAAGTTTCTCTCCCATGTTATTAGAAGGCTTTTATCCGCGTCCCTGTCCCACTCTACGGTGGACAGCGCCAGGACTTTAAAGCCCTGTGTCCGGGGCCCTGCCGCGGCAGCAGGGCTTTAAAGTGGCAGCAGGCCCCAGCGGCAGGGCTTTAAAGTGGCAGCAGGCACCGGCGGCAGGACTTTAAAGTCCCGGCGCCGCATCCGCCATAGAGGGGGACCCGGTCCCACTCTATGGCAGACAGCAGCAGGACTTTAAAGCCCTGTGTCCGGGGCCCTGCCGCGGCGGCAGGGCTTTAAAGTGGCAGCAGGCCCCAGCGGCAGGGCTTTAAAGTGGCAGCAGGCACCGGCGGCAGGACTTTAAAGTCCCGGCGCCGCATCCGCCATAAAGGGGGACCCTGGCAGACAGCAGCAGGACTTTAAAGCCCTGCCACCGGGGTCCTGTCGCGGCGGCAGGGCTTTAAAGTGGCGGCAGGCACCGGCAGCAGGGCTTTAAAGTGGCGGCAGGCACCGGCAGCAGGGCTTTAAAGTGGCGGCAGGCACCGGCGGCAGGACTTTAAAGTCCCGGTGCCACATCCGCCATAGAGCGGGTCCTGGTGCCGCTCTATGGCGGATGCAGTGCCAGGGCTTTGGCGGGGCTTTTGCGCTTGCCTCACTGGCCATGAAGCTCACCGCATGCCACTGCAGAATTCAGCAGCTAGACTGATTTGTGTAGTCAATGACATCACATTTACACCTTTGCTAAAATCATCCTGTCTGCTTCCAAATCATTTTCATGTAGAATATTAATAGCTGCTTATTGCTCTAAGCAGTTTGAGTTTCTTTCATATGATTTCACACTCTGTCACACATGCTTGAGATTATTTGGGTATATCTACCCATAGTTGCTGCAAACACATTTACTAGAGAGTTGCCACCTGTGGTGTCTGAAGTATATTCTTTTGTTTGTATTTTAGATTTTAAAACATATGTTTATGGATGTTTATTTTCGTTTTTAATGGTTGTTGTTCTACAGTCTTTATTAACTATTTAAATACTTTATGGAAATGTCCACATTACATTAGTTACCAAATTAAAATATTAATAAAATCCATAACAGTGGGAAATATTTGAAGATGTTATCTGTGCCATGCAGACTGGAATCATACTATAACCTGGTTCAATTGGCTTTTGCTTCATGTGTTGGGTAAACCCAGTGGCTGATTTGTAAATAATGACTTATGGTTTAGTGTGTTGTGCAAACTATAATCTAGTCAAAAAGGTTGGTTAAAACACAAAGTGTGAGTCCAGCCTCAGAGTTATTTGCAGTCCAGTTCTATAAGGTGAAAAGACAATCGGTAATAGATAAAACATGTCAACAACTTTAAAGAAATAACTAAAAAAGCAGCTTTCAATATATACAATGCATGGCATCTTCTTTCTTAGAAGATACATTAATAGTTCTCTTCATATACAATACCAGAGAATACTGACCTATTGACTTATTAGATTTATATGCCACCAATCTCACTTTCCATTACAATTGGGAAGACCTGAGTTTAAGGATGGCTGCCCATGGCTGCCCACCCGTTTCAGGATTGTTCCTTCTGGAACCAGATTTCATTGCCACTTCCTTCACTTGCTCATTATCCAGCTTGCTGTTTTTCCCATAGTTCTGTATTTTGAACTGTGTGCCCCACACTGAACGGTTTACATCTGAATGCAGTGTAAAATAGATAAGCAAATAAGTTTAGCTCATACATCCCAGCAGCTCGTATTTCAATCTCTACCCAACATTACACTCATTGTTTCCTTGTCTAATTATTCTTCTCCAACTTTTTAGCCTTTCCAGTTTTACTGTCCTTCTCAATATGTTAAATTGGACAGGTAAACTGAAGAATTCACATCATGTTTGGAAACCACTCTGCTAACTGCTACAGGGAGGTAAATCCTCTCTCCTGGCTTCCCCACTTCTCCTACAGCTGTTACTCTTTATTTCTGGTGGTTTTTTTTAGAGAGTTCACCTCCCTAAAGGGACCTATCAGACATTACTAAACAAAACATACACCAAAAACTATGTTACAGAAAAAACAAACATACATTAGCATTAAGTTTAAAACAGCCCAGCACTATTAAAATATTTACTGTACTTCAGAATAAAAGGCATGATTCTGACACACAGGTAGCTGCTTTGTTGGAGGCAAAGCAAACACCAGCAAGCACAAATCTTTTGGAAAATCATAACTGGCTTGGAAACATTAATTTCAAACATACAGGGAGGGTGCATTAAGGCTGTGATGAAGGAAATTCACTTTATACGAAATTAAATTTAGGAAGGTATTTTTAGATGGAAGTTTTAGTAATAATGAAACATCCGAGGGCAAGGGACCAAGAACGCTGAGCTCTTCGACATTATTTCGCAGTCCCAGCGGGTTGACCTATCCAAAATAAATTGAAGTGAAACCATTTTTAAAAATTAAAAATTCTTAAAAATACTTTGAAATATATTGTGCATAGAATTTTTAAAAATAGTTTTACTTCAATTTATTCTGTGTGGAATAGTTTGAAATGTTTTACTTCAATTTATTCTGTGTGGATTCNGGCTGGAGAGGGGGTTTGCCGGGCGGCTGCTCATGAGTGTGGTCACCTCATGGCTGCTTCGCCCCTGAGGCTGTGCCCGGCTCTTTGGGAGCCCGCTCACAAGGGAGCAACCGCCCGGCAACCCCCCTCTGGCCAGGCAGAATGCCACTCCCCAACCTAGCGGTATCCCGAAGGTACCAAGCAACATGAGTGCTTTTCCACTCCCGTGGCGCCTTCGGGATGCCGCTAGGTCAGTGAGCGGAAGGGAGGTTGTCCGGGGGCTTATTTTCAGGGGTGGGCTTATATTTTTGGCTATGCGAAAAATGTGGCAAGGCATTAGTTTCAGGACAGGTTGTATTTTCGGGGAAACACGGTAGAGAAGCTAATGAATATAAATGCTAATGCGATTAGGATTTTTTGAAAATGAATGTGCTAGTTTTTGTATTTACTATTTTTGTATGCCTCTCCCCACCCCCACTCCCCGACCCAGGAGAAAGACCTTTCATTTGTGATTTTGAAGCCTGTGGCTGGTCCTTCACCAGTATGTCTAAGCTATTAAGACATAAAAGGTAAATATTTCAACTGATTATATTGAAAATCATTGCCATACACATACAAAATTTTAAAGAACCTGAAGGTTAAGTTAGAGAAGCTATAAGTTCAGTAATTGAAAATGAACTTGAATAAACAAATTAGACTTTGTTTAAGTTGAATGGAAGCAGTCTGCTTAGCTAAAACATTTTTGGAGTCAAGTCTAATAATAGGGCTTACAAACTTATCAGACTTTAATCTTTTGATCTTATGTATGAAGTGCTTGATGTTAACATCAATGTAATTACTCTTGTAGGAAACATGAAGATGACAGGAGATTCACATGCTCTGTAGAAGGTTGTGGAAAATCTTTTACAAGAGCAGAACATTTGAAAGGCCATAGTATAACTCATCTTGGTACAAAACCATTTGAATGCCCTGTGGAAGGTATTACTCAAACACTTGATTCTATTTCTTCATAGGTTAATGATATGTATAAAAGGCCAAACTATACATTATATAGACAGAAGGTTTGCTACTGAATCCCATGACAGGGAAGAAAATACTTTCAAATTACAACATAATTGTGAAGAAGGAGCTAAATAAGTGTTTCTTCCAAAAGCATGCTGTTCCCTTAAAATTATTTAATTTCAATACTTCTTTTTTATTTTTAGGGATTATAGAAATCCACAATTTAAAATAAAATAAAAGTAGAGTGGGTGTAGGATGGAGATTTAAATTATGTATAATATTTAAAGCTTCTACTGCCTTGATAAATGCAACCATAGTTGAATAGTGTAGTTGTTTTAGTTAATTTGGCTCTGAATTGCATGCAGGGTTCTCACAAGATTTTGAAGCTGGTGTCACACAGCTTTTATTCTAAGATTTGTAAGATCACTTTCAAAGATGGTCAGTATAGCTATTGCTGTTAGTAGAGCTCTTTGCTTAGCTCTGTCCTTCTTACTCCTCTCTAAGGATGTGACAGTATATACAGAGCATACAACCAATTCAAACTGGCTTTTTCGCCTTAGCAGTTTCTTAGCTTTGTAACCTGTCTGAGGCTTTATAAATCATTGAAAATTGAAAAAGAAAAGATTTGGGGAATCAAAACACCGAGGCCTAGGAGTAAGGGATTGTGAGAAATTGTGCTGCCTGCAATCTCATAGGAAACTTTTTAAATAGGGTTTAAATCTGTAAGTATATATTATATTCATATGATCCAGTTGTTGTATATTTCAGGTTGTTGTGCAAAGTTCTCAGCACGCAGTAGTCTGTATATTCACTCCAAAAAACACCTTCAGGATGTGGACTCATTGAAGATGCGTTGCCCCGTATCCAGTTGTAGCAAATTATTCAATTCAAAGCATAGTATGAAAACACATATGGTCAAGCAACACAACTTTAGTGCAGGTATGATGTGCGACCTTAGAAGACTTGAGTTATCTGTGGATTTGAATAATGTATAGAATGTGTAATATCTAAAGATCTTGCAAAAAAAAAAGATTATTTCATTCAAAAGCTAATTACTTGGGTCCATATAACAGTTTTGTTATTTTGTAAATACTTGATATATGTACAAACATTAAAAACAATGTTTACTATTGATTTTTACAGAAAGCATATAATAAAATGAATGATTTTGAGCTATAAGACATTTTATATCAACATAGTTTTGATTATTTGCTGAATGTAATAAGTAATGGAAACTAGAATGCTTAGCAGATTGTTCAGAATTACACAAGAATGAGTGAGTGATGGAGGGGAATGGAAGGATTTATATTCCTTGCAGATGTCTGCAAGGAATATAAATCCTTCCATTCCTCCTGTCCTGTCAGAGCTGAAGAAGATTCTTGGATGAGAAGCGAAATGTCTTCAAAGAAAAACAAGAAAGTCCAGTTGCCTCTTGAAAAAGCATCTTTGGGCAAAGGTGATTATGCCACTTTATTCAATGGGAGCAAGAAGTGGGTATATTAGGAGAAACATAAAAATTGAATGCAAAATAAATGGGCCACTTAAGTGTCAGCAGTGAAACAATCATTTTGGGGGGTATTGCTCAAAGGTTTTCTCAGTTGATACTGCTACAAATACCTTCTTTATTATTGAAAACGTCTTCTGAATAATTCATGTAGAAATTCTAGTATCCAATGTGACTTGCTTTTCTATTTGGTTCAGCAAAGATTAGCAAGCTGAGAATGATAAAAACACTGTTGCGTTTTGCCCTAAATTCTGTCTGTCTTACATAATAGCAAAATGCACATACAGGAGGGGTGGGGCTTGTGCCATAATGCTGCAGAGATCTGCCCTTTTATATGTAGTGAGATATCATAACACTCATACTTAAGGATAGAGCTTACACCCTTCACATCATCTATAAATATTGCTGGCACTTACTGCTAGCTGTGTGAAAGTCACACGTAGCACCATCCATTTTGTTAGGCATGCACAGCATATTATTGAGGTCTGAATATGTGCTAGCAAGAAGTAGAGATTATCTGAAATCCTAACAAAATTACATTACCATGGCGTAGTAGCATTGAGTTCTAGCACTATAGGTAGTCCTCAACACTGAAAAAAGTGACTTATGACCATTTTTCACACTTAATGACTGTTGCAGCATCTCCCATAGTCACATGATTTACACGTGGATTCTTGACAACTGACTCATATTTATGAAAGTTGCAGTGTGCCAGAGTAATGTGATCTCCTTTTGCAACCTTCTGACAAGCAAAGTCAATGGGAAAACCAGATTCACTTAACCGTATTACAAATTTAAGAACTGCAATGATTCACTTAACAAACATGATGAGAAAAGTCATAAAATGGGTCAAAACTCAATTAACAACATAAATTTTGGGCTCAATTGTGATTGGAAGCTGAGGACTACCTGTACTGTTTTTTCCCCCAAATCTAATGAGGCTAATATTGGCTGTTTTGATTGGAAAAGGGAAGGTACAGATTCTTGGACTGAAGATATGTAGCCAAATTGGAGAGAGAGAAAGGAAGCAAGATTTGTATGATATTTATCATACTAACTAGGTAATCTTATAAACATGTTTTGTTTTATTTCAGATCTATTAAATCAGATGGAAACCATTGGTTCCCTCACACCTAGCAACGAACTTGCCAATTCAGGACAAAGTGACCTCAGCAATGTAGATCTAGTGTCCCTTTTTTCTAGTGTATCTGGGAACTCCTCTGGAATTTCAGCTGATATGGCTCTAATAAACTCCGGAATTCTTACTATAGATGTCGCTTCAGTAGGTTCCACGCTTGGAGGCAGTCTGTCTGTCAACAGCAATTCCCTTGCTCAGACAGTTGACCCACTGATTTTGGTGGCCAGTAGTGACATTCCACACAGCCTGGATAGCTCTCTTTTATTGGGAACCACCACCACCGTTTTACAGCAAAGCACTTTAAATTTGGATGAAGTACAGACGGTGAATGCAGAAGCCTTAGGCTCATTAGCATCTTTGTCAGCAAGAAGTTCCAGTCAAGACTTGCATGGTTTGACTTCTAGCAATAACTTGTCAGTAGACACGGCCACTTTATCCCCTTCCAGCAGCCTTGGTGGAAACAATACAGCTGAATTATTAGCTCCAAATAAAGCAGAGCAAACTTTGCTTCCTAGCCTGGATGTTGTGGAGCAACAAGAAGGCAGCAAAGTGGTCACTCAGTATGTGTTCTCCAATCCTTCAGGAAGTTACAGTGCACAAAAAGAAACTGATCTAAGCACGGTGACTGGCAGCTCTATTCCGGTATGCAATAACTCTTAAGTAACTAATTTTTATTAGTATATTGGTTTTGAGGATATTGTCATTGTGTGTCATTCTCTACCAGATCAAAAAAGTTTATGGAATGTCTGCCCCGAGTGAAGTCACCATACATTTTGTATAATGTAAGTGGCATAAATTGTTTCTGCCTGTGAAAGGGATTCAATACTGTTAACATGTTGTGCGTCATATTAAGTGAAAGAGGATAGTCTTTTTCATAGCAGGCGCTTAGAACCAAAGTTTAGTTTTATTTGTTACTTCCTTCTCAAACCATTGTGAATATTTAAAACTCTAGGTAGTGCTTTGGGACCGAGTGACAAAAAAGTATACTGTATTCCACACTTACAGAAAAAGACATTTTCTCCCTCATACTATTGAAATATGTCTTTGGCTGCATGACTTATTAAAATACATACTGGCATATTACAGGACTGCATTCAAAGATAGCTTGTGCAGTAGAATGTCTTTTTTTTCTGCAGCCCCCTCAGAAAAATAATCTGTTCTGCAGGGTTTTATATCAGCAGATTTTGGTGTTTTACAAAAGGAAAGGAAATTTATTTTGCCTATGGACTTAACCATAGATGGGGCGTTGCAGTGGGTCAGTGGTTAATATGCTGGGCTTGTCAGCTGGAAAGCCAACAACCTGAGTTTGAAACACCAACTTCATGCAACAGACAAGTGCCCATCTTCGCCTAGCTCCTACCCACCTATCAGTTCAAAAGCATGCAAAAGCAAGTAGATAAATAGGTACCACTTTGGTAGGGAAGAAACAGTGCTCTGCGACATCATGCTAGCCACATGACTGCGGAAATAGTGACAGTGCTGGATCAACTGCCTTGAAACGAAGATGAGCACCGCCCTGTAGTCAGCAACATCTAGCAGAGTAAAATAAGCAGGGACTCCTTTCCTATGGGACTTAACCAGAAAGATCCTACACAGAATTCAATATAAACAAAGAAGCTGTTAGGGATTAATACATGTTATTAGGGGAAAATGGAATTCATAATGAAAAGCTGCATATCTAACTACTTGGATTTAGTGATGTGAACAACTGCTTTTATCTCATCAGGAGAGTGGTGGGTCTGCAAGAACAGATTATCGAGCTATTCAGCTTGCCAAAAAAAGAAAACAAAAGGGAAGTGGGAATGACGTAGGTGAGTATTATTTCAGTACAGTATGTTGTGTATACATCAAACTGGATCTAAGGATATTATCATTACATTTAGAACCCTAAGTTGAATAGAGAGTCAGTTTGCTGTAGTGGTGCAGGCATCAGGCTAAAAACCAGGAGACCATAAGTTCTAGTTCTGCCTTACACACAAAGCTAGCTGGGTGACTTTGTGCCAGTCATTCTTTCTCAGCCCTAAAAAGAGGCAAATAGCAAATCACTTCCAAAAGATCTTGCCAAGAAAACTGCAGGAAATTATCCAGGCTGCTGCTAGGACTCACCCCCCCCCNTTCCTCTTTACCAATCTGAAAATCTGGTCACCTTATCCTCCTCCCCACTTCTGAGCTATACTCTCCGGTTCCACGCCAGAACTGCACCACTTCCTGGTTTTACAGTCGGCCGCGCAGGATCGACTCCTCTCCTGTACTCCGCGCTCCGGGTTTCTCCGATCGCTCGGGCGGCTCCGCCCCGCGGCTCCGGTTTCAGCCGCTGCTACAGGGACCCCCAAGATGGAAACGCAGGGGCTGCCTGCCGCCGCGGAGGCGGCCCAGCCCGAGCCCGCCACCCAACAACAACATGGCGCCGGTGCGGAGGACGGGGCTGCCCCCTCAGGGCCTGTTCGCCGGCCTCCTCAGCCTCGTGACTCCGCGGCGGCGGCGGGGGCCTGGGGCCTGGACGTGACATTCCCGGTGCTGCTGCTCCTCGAAGGGAAGCTGCCGGAGACGCCGCAGCCGCATCAGCAGTTGCCGCCGCCGCCGCCTCTTCCTCCGCCGCCTCCGCCGGGACCTGCTAACTCGGGCGGCGCCTCATCCCCGCCAGCCGGAGGCCCCGGGCAGCCGCCGGAAAGTGACGCTTTGCTGCTGGTGCTTAACTTGGTGCGGGGCGGAGCCTCCGGGAGCCCCTCGCGAGGCTCCTCTCAGGATTCCCCGCCGGCGCAGCGGCCGCGGGAGGGCAAGCCCGGCGGCGAGGCGGGCGGAGAAAGCCAGGCTTCGGCGCCGCTCTCGGAGGGCGGCGGGCCGCAAGAGGAGAGTGGCGGCGGCGGAAGCCAGGGGAATTCCTCCTTCTCGGGCACGCTGACCATCAACAACCAGAGCCTGCTGGTCCGCTTCGAAAATGGGACGCTCAGCTTCGGAGGGCCCGCGCCGGCAGCCCCGCCGCCCGCGCCGGCCCAGCCGAGCGACGACGCCCAGCCCCCGGCTGCACTTTCGCGGGCTCCGGCGTCGTATCCTCCTCGGCCGGACTCCCACCGCGCCGACACCTTTTCCCGCAAGCAGCTCCTGCGGCTGCATCAACTGTCGGCGCGCGGCGGGAGCCCAACCGGCGCCCCACAGGAGGGCGGAGAGGCAGTGGCAGCCGCCGGAGGTTTGGGTGGCTCGGCTGCCGCAGGCCGGGTGGCGCGTCCCTTTAGCTGCCCGATCCCCGGCTGCTCCTGGGCTTTCGCCACGGCCTACAAACTGCGGCGCCACCTGCATTCCCACGACAAGCTGCGGCCCTTCGCCTGCTCCGCGCCGGGTTGCACGAAGCGCTTCACCACCATCTACAACCTCCGGGCTCACGGCAGGGCTCACGAGGAAGAGTCGAGGCTGAAGTGCGAGGCTTGCGGGCAACGCTTCCCCAGTGCCGCCCGGCTCGGGGCGCATCAGCGGCGGAGCCACCTGGAGCCAGACCGGCCTTACCGCTGCGAATATCCAGGTAATCTGGTGGACCCGGACCCGGTTGGTTTGGGCAAATTGCCCGCGCCTGACGTTTCTGTCGTGAACTGGGGAAAAGGGGGCTATTTTAAATCTAGTTACTTAAAAATCTTTGTATTCCGGTTAATATCGAAAATATAAATATTCATTGATACTTCTTCATTGTAAAATAGCAAATCAGGATCGTTGCAGATTTCAATGCAGCAATATTGCAATATTGCAATGTTGCAATATTAATATAATTAATATATAAAATTCACATTCTATTATTTAATTTTTTTTAAAAAAATTGAAAATAAAAAGAGAGGTAAAACAAATCCCTTGAAGTGTTAGATCCATAGTTGAGTGCAGGAAGTCCTTGGGTTATGCCTGCAGTTTGGACCATTGCTAAACCATGTCATATGACTGCATTGGTTAGTGACAGCAGTTCTGGTTGTCATTGTAACAGAAGGGCCCACAAGTGCTTAAGCAGGAAGGGATGGGAACCCCAACACAGGAGTGTAGAGAGGGTGCACAGGTGTCATGCTAAATTGGAAGGGTCTGTGGGAGGGCCAGTGGAGGCATAGGAGGGGTTACAGAGACTTTGGCCAGAGAGTGCTGTGGGCAGGCATGCACTAAAGTTTGAGGTGCTGCGGAGTATAAGATCCCTGGATTTTTGGATTTCATAACATGCCCCTCAAGGAAAAAAGGCATCTTGCATATTGAAAGGTCACAAATGTTGATCACATAAGATGGCTTGCTGCAATGTCATAATCGCAAGCCAGACACTTCAGCACTTGAATTGTGATCACATGACTGTGGGAAGACTGCAGTGGCTGGAGCTTTGAGAATTGGTCATGTCACTATACATTTGCATGGTCACTGAAGAAAAAGATGTATGCTGAGGACTACCTGTACAAAGTAAAAAAAAATACTCTGTAATCAGGGGTGGGTTCTGGCAGCTGCTATTGCCGGTTTGCTTGAGGTCATGCACACAGTACTATAAAAATGCTTCTGTGGATGCACAGAAGCCCAAAAAACAAGATGGCGGCGCCTATGGTGCTACCAGGAAAACTGGTTCAGGGGTGTGGCAGGCCTGGGTTCCTGGCCTAGGAATCCACCACTGCCTGTAATTCACATCAAAGTATTATATGATAATAGCTTCAGCCTCAAACTAATTACCCAATACTAAAATCTCCATTGTATTACTTTGTGTGAATTTTGTATGTTTATATGTTGAACACGTTATCATAAAATAATACCCATGAATGTTTCTGTGACCTTTGGTATGAACTGATACCTTTCTGAATTTTTAGAGGGGCTGACAGACGTGCAATCCTATGCGTGTTCACATGGAAAAGAATCCCTTTTTCAGTACAATTTTAAATAAAATATACTCTGTTTAAAATAATTACATGATTTATTACAGAAAATTTTTAAAAAGCTTTGTGTACTATCATAGCTGAATTCATAATAAAGTACCATTAGGGAAAAAGTCAGTTTTGTGAAATGTGGTGTATGCCTGTTCTGATTGTAAGTGGGAATATTTAGAAATATATTACCTCTCTACACACTTACAACAATTTTTCTTATTTGAACTTAGATCTCCTTAACCTCAATCCAATATAGCTCCCATTGTGGAACGCTGATTTTAAGATGGCATGTGAATTTATTATTCTTTGGAATTTTTGTGGCAAATCTAATTTCTAGTTTAATGTTATATAGGTTGTCAGGAGGAACATTTAATAGGAAAGCATCCTTTTCCATTGAAGTCCACTGAGAATGCTGGATTTCAGATTCCAATATTTCTAGATACCTTGATGGCCATATTGTGGTAGAATGGAAGTCAAATAGTAGATTCTTATGTTGTAACTTAGGTGTGTAGAATGGAATATATCTGCTAGTATTCTATTTTCAAAAACCATTAGCTGGAAGAAGATGTAGAAATTGAACATGAAAACATTCCTCTATTGGCTTTTAGCAGCATATGGTGCCTGGCAATAATCTGCTTTTGAAAATTGTGTTTTTATTTATTTGTAACATAGTGTTTTGAGCTATCAAAGCTGCTTATTTTGTTTGTTTCCGCTTTCTTGCAGAACATGGTTAACTCTTTTTTTCCCCCCCCAGGCTGTGAGAGGACCTTCATAACAGTGAGTGCATTATTTTCTCATAATCGAGTCCACTTCAGGGAACAAGAATTGTTTTCCTGCTCCTTCCCAGGCTGTAACAAGCAATATGACAAAGCTTGCCGGCTGAAAATCCACATGAGAAGTCACACAGGTGTGAACTAGGATACTGTTAAAAGTTTGCATTTGGTTGACTTAAAGAACAATTATGTTGATTGAATGGATGCTATCCTTAAGAACTGATAATATGTTTATAGGCAAGGATTTAATTGTTATCTTGTAAAGAATTTGATTAATAAAATCATCAATCTACCGTGTTTCCCCCAAAATAAGGCAGGGTCTTATTTTCTTTTGTCCCACGAAATATGGCCTTGGGCTTATTATAGGGGGAGGGCTTATTGTTTTGGGGTTGCCGGTCAGCTGCTCCCTTGCGAGTGGGCTCCCGAAGAACCGGGCACAGCCAAGGCACATGGTGGCTGCTGGAAGACATTCTGTCCGGCAGCTGGCCCACAACCATAGAGCGCACTCCTAGAGTGACCGCTGCTGGAAGACTCGGCAGCCGAGTTTTGGAGTTGAAGCTGGAAAAGAAGTTATACTCAGAGTGTGGCGGCGGCGGCAGCTGGGGCCAGGGCATGGTGAGGCTGGGGGGCATGCTTGCTGGGGGCGAAACAAGCGCTCGCGCAACCCCCCTTTCCAGCAGGGCAGAGCTCCATGCACTGACTTAGGGGGTATCCCTAATGTGCCAAGCCGCGGGAGCTGGGGAGCGGGCAGAGAGCCATGTGGCTTGGCGCCTTAGGGATACCCCCTAAGTCAGTGCATGGAGCTCAGCCCTGCTGGAAAGGGGGGTT